CTCGGTTGGGGTGTAGCCTAGCTTTTCCTCTGCCTTGTCTGAGAGCTTGAGACCGATGAGGCCCCAGGCCAAAAGGCCGAAGCCGACGCCTAGTCTAGCTTTGGGGGAGAGGCCTTGGTAGGTTCTAATGAGGTTTGTTAGTCAACTATCTAGGTAGGTAGCTCTCATGGGGATCACAGAGGACACACGTACTGGAGGAGGGTCATTGTTTTGTTAGTTGCTACAACTTTGTTGAAGGTTTCTTCTTTGACGGTAATATGGCCAGGCGATTATGTCGTTCAAGTTTTGTAAAAAGCAACAGGTCGACAGGACTGGTTGATATGTATTATGTCCTGAGTTGTGGTGATGATGGCTTCAGGAAGATGGGAATATGAATATGCAGATATCCAGATTGGATCAAGGTAGGTAAGGAAGGGTATGCAGTTATTGGTGGGATGAATTCCTCTTTAGGTTCAAGGAGGCGGAAGTTCCCGCTTGACACACACACACTCACCCCACCGCCCTGCCCAAACAGTGGGCAAGCCCGCCCGCGCCGCCGGATGGGAACGCTCGGACCACCCAAATTTTTGAAAGTTGCAGTTTAGCAAACAGTCAAAGACAGCTCCAGTTCGACGACGACGGCTTTTGCTGCTGGCTTGTGGGACTCTTTTTGTGATCACCACCAACCAACCAAGTAACCGTTCGACTGAGAGTCAATACAGCGTCGACGGCCAGGGGCGAATTGGATTGACAGTCGCTCATTTAGGGAGGAAAATCCGAGTGCTACGAAAACGAGAATTACCTTCCCACCACCAGCGAACACACACAACCCCTTCGACCCGACCGAACTTGCGAATCACGATGGCCACCGCCTCGGCTGTCCGCCCCTCCCTGGGCGCAGCCTTCAGACTCACCTCCTCCAACATTCCCAAGAGGATATCCCCCTCCCTCACCCAAACCTCCCCCTTGTCCACCGCCGCCCCCCTCCTCAAGAGACACACCTACCCCAACGCGCGCTCCAACAAGGACATGTCCAAATCCCGCGGCCAGTCCGCCCTCCGCCGCACCGGTCTCCGCTGGCGGCTGTCGGTCTCGGACGACCCCCTGCCCAAGCCCAAGCCCCGCGAGGAGCTGCCCCCCGTGGAGGTGGATCCCGATCACGGGCTGTGGGATTTTTTCCCGAACCGGGAGACGGTGGCGGCGTCGCCCGAGGACGACATGAAGCACGGGCGGGGGTGGATGGTGGAGGAGCTGAGGGGGAAGAGCTGGGAGGACCTGCACAAGCTGTGGTGGGTGTGCGTCAAGGAGAGGAACAGGATCGCGACGGGGGCGTGGGAGAGGGAGAGGGGGCGGTTGGGGTTTGGGAAGAGCGAGGCGCAGGGGAGGGATAGGGAAGTAAGTGTTTTTTTTTTCTGGTGTCTTTTTGCGGGGGGAGGGTGGGGGGAGGGTTGAGGATATAAAAGGAAGAAAATGCTAATTCAAGGAAAACAAAAACAGGTCCGGATTACGATGCGCGGTATCAAGCATGTCTTGACGGAGAGGTTTTATGCTTGGGAGGATGCGGTTAAGCTGGCGGAGAATGATCCCGAGATTGACTTGAGTGGGAAGGGTAGACCTTTTACGCCAAAGGAGTACCTTGAGGGGGAGGCGGCTGAGGAGGAGGTTCTGGAGTTCAAGGCTGAGGAGGAGGGCGAGGCTGTGGTACCACCACCACAGGGAAAGGCTCAGGGTGAGGCGGCGAGGTTATAAAGGGGGAGGTTTATACCCTGTGTATCAACAACGACATAAAAAGCACCATTGCCACTACGAGTTAAAAAAAGGCCGTTGAACCGATGTATATAGATGGATGGATGGGACGGCATCATCGGGTTTTCTTCTTGTACAGATAGTGTATTTGAACCTTCTTCAGAAACAAAACAAAGAGCTGAACTGGGACTGGGGACATGAATTATGATGTGACGTCGTGCTGGTTCGGCAAGTTTGATGGGCTTCCAGCTGCTGGCAATGTCCAGGCATAAATGAGGCATGAGCCGAGACGAGGGACCCAGACCGCCTGTCTTTCAGTGTCGAATCACAAGACGCCATGGTGCTTGATTAGCTCAAAGGAGACCCCAGAATGCGGGGCTGCCACTTCGCGCCCCTCCTCCCCACCACCACCAAGCGGCGAGCGACAGCAAGCAACCTCCCCTCCCCAGGCCCCCCTGATGAATGACGACCTAATATTAAGCCTAACATCGAGAAACATTTCCTGGCCAGCTGCTAATAACCTCTTGCCAGTCCATCAAATTTCCACCGTGATCTCCTGTCGGCCCTGGTTCTTTTTTTTGCTTCTTGATTTGCAATCTTGGGGGGTTTTTAAACCTTTTTGTTCTTTCTGTTCAGTTTCATCGTCTTTAATAGGGAATATAAGTTCGACCCACCTCCCTCTCCCCCCCCCCCCCGAGCTTTAGCTTGCGTCCACCACCTGCCAGACACCTACCTACCCAAGCTAGAGACCGCCCATTCTCCATCTCCCATCCAACAAACAAAACACCGATTAAGGGACCAGACAGACAAAAAAACGCAAATCATGGCTGAAGAGATCGCCCCAGAGTACGATGTCATTGTGCTGGGCACCGGCTTGACCGAGTGCATCCTGTCTGGTGTGCTCAGTGTCAAGGGGAAGAAGGTGCTGCACATTGACCGCAACGACCACTACGGCGGGTGAGTTGGTTTGCTGCCCCCCCCTTGGGTTGGTTTTGAAAAAGAGAGAGAGAACCGTTGGACTTACGTGCGCCCCTTTTTTGAATAGCGAGGCTGCTTCGGTTAACCTTGAGACGGTATGCATTCCTTTCTATTTGATGATTATCTACCCATCTACATACTACCAAACGGAGGGATCGCTAACATGGTGTGTTTGTTGTCGGTAAACAGCTCTACAAGAAGTATGGCAACTATGCCAAGGGCACCGAGCCCTGGAAGGAGTACGGCCGCCTGAACGACTGGAACATCGACCTCGTCCCCAAGTTCCTCATGTCCTCGGGCGAGCTCACCAACATCCTCGTCTCGACCGACGTCACCAGATACCTCGAGTTCAAGCAGGTCGCCGGCAGCTATGTCCAGCAGGGTGCGGGAACCAAGACGACCGTGGCCAAGGTCCCCTCAGATGCCGCCGAGGCGCTCAAGTCCCCCCTGATGGGCATCTTTGAGAAGCGCCGCATGAAGAGCTTCATCGAGTGGGTTGGCCAGTTCGACCCCAAGGACTCTGCGACGCACAAGGGTTAGTTAGTTCCATGCCGGGGATTATGATGGGCAAGACGTTTGGCTGACAAGCAGCGTATATTCCAGGCCTCAACATGTCCACCTGCACCATGAAGGAGGTCTACGACAAGTTCGGCCTCGAGGCCACCACCAAGGACTTCATCGGCCACGCCATGGCCCTCTACCAGACCGACGCCTACCTCGACAAGCCCGGCGTTGCCCCCGAGGCCATCGAGCGCATCCGCCTCTACGGCAACTCCGTCGCCCGCTACGGAAAGTCCCCCTACATCTACCCCCTCTACGGCCTCGGCGAGCTCCCCCAGGGTTTCGCCCGTCTGTCTGCCATCTACGGCGGCACTTACATGCTCAACACCAACGTTGACGAGGTTGTCTACGAGGGCGACAAGGCGGTCGGCATCAAGGCCACCATGACCAACATCGAGCCCGAGATGAAGTTTGAGACCAAGGCCAAGATCATCATTGGCGACCCGAGCTACTTCCCCAACAAGGTCAAGGTTACCGGGCATGTGCTGAGGGCCATCTGCATCTTGAAGCATCCTTTGGCCAACACGAGTGATGCGGACTCTGCCCAGCTTATCATTCCCCAGAGCCAGGTTGGCCGCAAGAACGACATTTACATTGCTGTCGTCTCGTCGGCTCACAATGTCTGCCCCAAGGGGTACTGGATCGCGATTGTGTCGACCATTGCCGAGACCTCGTCCAACCACCACCTTGAGTTGGCGCCTGGTATCGAGAGGTTGGGCAAGATTGAGGAGCAGTTTATGGTGAGTTTCCTCCTTGTGATATGTGCTGCTTGTGAGACTGATACTGACTGTGATATGTGTTCTGCAACAGGGCCCCCCTATTCCTTTGTATGAGCCCCTCGAGGATGGCACCAAGGACAACATCTTCATCTCCAAGAGCTACGATGCTTCCAGCCACTTTGAGACGACTACGGATGATGTCAGGGATATTTACCGCCGCCTGGCGGGTGAGGAGTTGGTTGTTGAGGGCTTGAGGGAGGGTATCCAGATTGAGGGTGGTGACCAGTAAGCGAGGGTTTTGGTCATGAATGAGAGATGAGATGGGGGAAGGGAGGGGTAGATGGGGTAGGATATTCTGCCAATGGAAAGGGGATTGATGAGGGTGATATGTGATTAGTTCTGGTCTCTGTTTTTTTTTCTTTTTCTGAAACGTATAAGCAAGCAATACACAAACAGTTAAGAACTCTTTTTTGGGGGTGGTGGTTGGTGTGGCCTTGTGAGGTGGGGCGGTGGGTGAGTGAGATTTGGGGACGAGAGAGGATGTCAGATGAGGACTGGGTCCGTACTCGTCCTTTTTTTTTGTGCTGATGGATGAAACTGTGCACATCCTTGGCCACAGCAGCAGCATCAACGTATTTGATGGCTTGGACTACGAAATTCACACACACCGGGAGGTTGTTTATCGCTTTGTGGTTTTTTTCTTTTCTCACTTAGGCGGCGCCCACCCATCTTACCTACCCGAACTGTTGTTGTAATCAATCCATTTTTGAACAAACCAAAAAGGCAACCAGATCTCCCAAAAACTAGTAGCATGTGCTAGAATTGTGGCCTGTTGTGGCCTCACACCGGTGAGATTTAAGATGGGTATTCCTGAGGATGGGGTGGAATTCGGTGTGTATGTAGTTGCTTTGATGTCGGGGGGAGGGGAGCGGAGGCAACGTGAGAGAGACTGACTGAGGAGGAGGCTGAAAAGGGAAGGAAGAAGGAAAAAAGAAAAAGGGAAAAAAAGAAAAGATTTTCCCACACCGGGGTTTGAACCCGGGTCTCCAGGGTTTTTTGACTGTGGCACTCCTACCTCGGGAGGTAGAGGTAGGAGCAGAAGTGAAAACCTGATATGCTAACCACTACACTATATGGGAGTTTGTGGAATTGTTGGGAGGGGGGAAGGGAAGGTGGTATATATAGGGGGGGTAAGAGAGGAAGGAAGGAATGAGGGAGGGAGGGGAATGGGGACGGAAGGAGCGGGAGGTGGGAGGAAGGAGCGAGGGGGAGGGGGGGAGTTAGTTGAGTCAGAGGTTGAGGCTGAGTTTGCTGGCAATTGTGTAGCTTTGAGGCAGTAGTGTTTTGTGAGAGGATATTTGGGAGGTGGGATGATGGGTTTGTGGATTTACGCTGCGTTAGATCTCTTTCATAAAAGATAGAGAGAGAGCATGTGGTCTTAGTATCAGGATGGGGTGGGCATATTGTTTGCGACTCTATCTGCGATATTCACTATGACTATAAAAAGACAAACGTTTTTGATGGGAGATGGTTTGTATCTTGTTTCTAGAGTATGTCAGGATGTATATCGGTTGTGTCCGATGTGACAGCTTTCGGGTTATTAGCCTTGGGGTCTCTTCTAAGACGCGGACTTACCTGCCAAAACCCTCCAAGTCTGCAGACGTGAAGTAAATATTTGAGAAATATTTAGTCAAGATTTCTGCCCGCTGATTCAAAGGTGCTTAACAAGACTAGTAAAACGTTCCCAAATACCGTAGATAGTTTATGCCTTCTATCAACGAGATGCACCGAGATGCGATATCCCACTCCAATTCAGCAAGCACTATCTAGTTTACAACAGAGCGTTGGAAGACCTCTGAAAACGCACACAGCTATACCTCCGAGAGACCAAACTTTGACAGTTGATTTAGATAGAACTCATTTACAGCCATGCAAAGCCCAGCAAGCCCACCTCAACACTCAACCTCCAAGATCCTATCCCAACAGGACACCGCACACCTACAAGCTCCAATACCCAGCACACGACCCCCTCTAACAAAAACACATCTCAAAATTATATCCTTTTACCCCAAGCTCCATAAACACCATCTTCATCCTAATTGTTGCATCTAACATCCAACATTACCACACAAAAGGAGGCATTGCAACATCCCCCCCTCACCTTTATATACCCAACCCCCGCCCAAACTCCCATCCCCTCTACGACAAGTGCCAACACTTGTAAATCTTCCGTAGTATAGTGGTCAGTATGTGAGCTTGTCAATTCCAACAACGCTCGAGACCCGGGTTCAATTCCCGGCGGGAGAGATAATCAGACCAATCATTTTTTGGCTTCTTGACACCCCCCCATCCCTCTGCCCTTTTTACCCTCCCCCATCACCACACACACACCCCTTTCAACAAAAGCCTCACTTTTGCAGCCACCAACCTCTTACCCTGTCTTCATGCCTCTTAATCAACTGCAACAAGGCTCAGCAACAAACATAAAGCCTCAGCCTCGCTGATGGAGACACTCCCTTCCCAACCCCACCACTCCAGCCCAATGTAACCTCACTTTTTCACAAGCCAAACTCACAAACAAGCAAGACAACATTCATGTTTTGATCATCTATTCATTATCACCCCCCTATTCTAACCCGCCTATTTTTCTACTCGCCCAGTCATTGTTTACATCTACATCTACACCAGTCATTATTACCCAACAACAATAGACACAACTGAACGACAGCGCAAAACCATGCTATTCTTTCTCACATCTCAAAGCGCAAAGAAGCAAACGCATTCATAAGATGATAATGATGATGGATTTTCAATTCCCAGAAAGAAACCAACTAAAATGAAGATAAACACCAGTTCCAATGCTTTGCCCGATTTATTCTCTCGAAAAACGCCCCTTTTGTGACAACAATAAACAGAAAAATGTGGGTGTGGGTGTATGGGCGTTTTTCGTCATCGCAGAAACAAAGACCGACCCAAAAGAAAAGAAAAAAACACAACCGCCTCGCTGTCATGAAAACGAGTCCATGGGAGCCAAAGTATGCTTTTTCCTTTCTTTGCTTTCCCCACGTCATAAATGTCCGACTACCCAACTGACACCCAAGCAGAAAGTCATGTCAGTTGTCGACTACTCTGGGTTGGCGAAGAGCGCCCAGGTCGCAGACTACCCCTTTTGAAACGCCGTCTAATCGTGGCGGGGGGTGAATATTTGTACAGATTGCCTTGTGCTAAGCGAGACACTTAAGCAGCATCGGCAGTGGAAACGGGCTGAACGACCTTGGTGGCCTGGTTGCCAGCGCGGACAATTCTTTGGCCGGAGGAGTCGGTGACGGTCTGGACATCCTTGTTCTCAGACTGGGCGCGCTTCCAGATCTCAACCTCGCAACCGCCACGGAGAACACCAACTCTCATGGTGGAGAGAAGGTTGTGGGCACCGTTGGAGTGGTTGTAGACACCGCCGTTGAAGACAGCAGTGGCGTCCTTGCCGATAGCCGAGTTGATCAGGGTCTTGCCACCAGGATGGTCGGCAATGAACTTGCCAACATCGTGGATGATACCAGCGACGGCAATCCAGGCCTTGCCGTTCTTGGACTCGGCGACGAAGTCATCCCAGGTGACAACGGGAAGGTTCTCGAGAGGAATACCCCAGTCGAGGGTGGCACGCTTCTGGTCGAGCTTCTTCTGGAGCTGCTGGAGTCTGCCCTTCTCAATCTCGTTCTGGGGGAAGGTCTTGAGGTTGTAGGCGAATCCGAGGAACTTCATGATGGAGATGAACCACTTGGTGGGGTCATACTGCCACCACTCAATAGCGTTGCGGAAATCACTGGGGAACTCGTGGTGGAAGTTGTGGTAACCCTCACCAAGGGTGACGAGGGCAGTGATGACGTGATCTCTCGGTGAGTTGCGGTCATCGAAGGGCTGGTCGCCGAGCCAGTGGGCAAGGGAGTTGACGCAGAAGGTGGCCTGCTGGATGAAGAAGATGCGAAGGATACCGCCATAGACGAAGCCACCGGTCCAGTCGTTCCAGCCGAGACCGCAAACGAGGGTGGGAACAATCAGGGCCATGATGATGACCGACTTGATGTAGTTGCGGTGCTGCCAGACGACAACGGGGTCATCGTTGAGATCGGTGATGTCGGTACGGCCGATGCGGCGGGGGTTCTGCTTCATGACCATCCAGCCGATGTGGCTGTAGAGCAGACCCTTGCGGACGGAATAGGGATCCTTCTCAGTATCGGTGTAACGATGGTGGGAACGATGGAGACTGGACCACCACCGAGCGCTGCCCTCGACAGCGGCGGCGCCACCAGCGGCAAGGAAGATCTTGAGGGGAAGGGTGGCCTTGTAGGAGGTGTGAGCCCAAAGGCGATGGTAACCGGCGGTGATGCCGAGACCAGCGAAGAAGTAGTAGAGCACAGTGAAGACGGCTGTCTTCATCTGCAGTGGCACCCAGTACGAGGAGATGAGGCCCGTAAGGGGGATGAAGATGATGAAGGTGGTGTTGAGCCAGTTGACGTGCTTGTACCAGTTCTTGGCTGTGATGGGCTGGTCGGTGATATCTGTTGGGAGGCGTTGTTAGCAATGCCGGAGCAGCCGGATGTCTCGAGATGGCAACCTACGAGGCTTCTTGATGTCCCAGTTCTTCTTGCGGATGGCGACATAGTCCTTGGTTCCGTCGGGGAAGGACTCGGCCTGGAGGACCGCCGAAGCGGGAACCTCAGATGACGACGACGCCATGTTGAGGGCGGAGGTCGCGGAGGTTGACAATATCGCGGTCGATGAGGACGTCGGCCTTGGTCCTCTCTCGTCGTCGATTTGTGTTGAAGGGGGGGAATAGAGGTTCGCGGGAGGGCGGTTATGGAGGGGTCTCAGGCAAGAGGGAAGTAAAAGTCAAAGCAGGAAAGGGCTGGCCGGAAAGTTTTATACGAAAGGATGGTTCAAGCAAGCAAGGGTCTAAGCTGTGGGTTTAGGCGGGGGGGTGAGCGGTGGGTGGGTTGAGGGAGGCCCGTCAGGAATTCAGGATTGTGGTGGCATGCGGGTGCCGGGTCCCTGGGGTACTTAATTTTGCAGGCAAATTGGCAGGCCACCCAGGTAACTTTCCGTCCAGTTCTTTGTCCAGCGTCAACGGATTTCCTCAACAGCGATTGGACCACCAGCAACAGCAGCAGTGATCAGTGAATCCAGCCTTTTGCACCTGCTTTTGCCTCTGCTGATTCTCAATGCTGGTGCTGTCAATCAGTGGAGCGGGCGGCAATGAATCCCGGCGGAAGCAGGAACTGCTTGCAGTGGCCAATTCTGCTTTTGGGACAGAGTTCAAATGGTTGGGAATATCTGGGATGATGGCCGATATCTCTCGAACGAGCTCCTGACACGATCAACACCGGCCGAGGTTTCGAGAGCAGCCAGTGCAAACAAAGCTCAGGTCACAGCTGCATCCCTCTGCCGAGGATAGCATGTGGATGGCACCATGTTGGTGGTGAAGGCATCTCCCCAGCCTTGACCAAAGTGACTTTTGCCGTTCCCGAATTTTGTTGAGGAAAGTGTTGGGGAGGCGTTCATGTTTGGGTGGGGGACTTGTAAGTCAGGGCCGTCTCTGATTGGCTGCCCGTCAAATCTGCATGTCCACGACGTCGTCCAAGCTCCGCCTTTCCAGAACGGCGTCCTGCCATTGAAAACTTCACGGCTTTCCTCCGTCACTGTTCCCAAATCCGGCCGTGGCAAACCTGACGCAAGGGTTCCCCATATTCTGAGTGTGGAGGGAGAACTTGTGTCTTTGAATCACATGTCAAAAACCTCGAGCAATCACCATCTCATCTGTTGAATCCCACAGCATCTGCCAGTTCATCTGATCTTGTCTCTGACAAAACTCTCACAGCAAGCACGACGCAAAGACGCAGGGTGGCCGTTTCTGTGATGCCTGTCATCTTCGACAGCCATGCGTTGTCCGGTACCTGCGCTGGGGAATCCTCCAATCGCATTTTCCCAAATGGAAAGCCACACCACAAACCGAAGATGCCCCTCTTTTGCATCGTGGTGTTCGGGCGGAAGGATCCGTCGTCATTCGAGGCTGAAGTGGAGTTTCGCCTTGCCTGGACTTCAACGCTTGGGATTTGCCAAGACGCCACCTTCAACAAGGCCATCT